TGAATTGTTTCTTGTTTTGGTAATAAATTTTGCTACCACTGTTAGAATTTGTTTTCCCTTTAAGCCCTGATGTGTTGTAGATATGCTGTTCACTACTCAGGATCTTTTGCCAACAGGTTTCTCTGATGGGCTTCAGTTCACTTCAATTTCACTTGATTCAATGTCTTTGCTTAAAAATTTTAGAGTACTTTTGTTCCCTGCAGTTTCTCTAACGTACTTTATAAAATAAATGAGAAACTAGGGTGTGATTAAAATAGGATTGTAGCCTAGGTTGTGCTTGAAGGGTGTAAAAAAACTATTGATACTGCATATATGCAGAATATACCAATGAATTCAGTCTGGTCTGTCTGAGGTGTAAACCATCCTTCAGTAGGATAACCAAAATGCTCCTTTGATTGTGATGCCTCACCCAGACTGCTCTGTCCCGCAGATTCTCCTCCTGCCCAGGAGCTGGAATTGGCTCCATCTGAATCAATGAGAGTTTTTTATCACAGGCCTTACTGACTCCAGTATTGAGCCCTGCAGTCCCAAGCCTGTGCTAACCAGTCACATTCCATTTATCCAAAGAAAAGCTGTGAACTGGGAAAATTAAAGACAAAGAAACATCATTTAGTCTGCCATATAATAAAGTATTTTAGGCTCAGCACTCTGAAAAGCAAAAAGTGCTAACGTGTGTTATTGATGCCATGGCTGAGAATATTCTCATCTGGCCTATGGAGAAGTGAAACTTGAAATACTGAAAAAGTGAAAGCTTTTTCAGTATTTCAATTGAGGGCAAAGGGGAGAATATTTTAAGGTGAAATTGTGAACAATTTCTATTGTAGGGTCCTAAATTTGTGCTTATTCCCATTACCAAGGGTTATATTCCTCTATCTCAGAAAACATTTTAATTACAGATATTAAAGACCTTAGTTTTAACTGTCATCTAAAATTAGAACCCAACACAACATTCCCTAAAACCTTTTAGACTCAAGATTAATTAATGCACCAAACAGAAAATGTTCATTTGCTAAGACTTTAGGATCTCCTGTTGCTTTGCCTAAGTTTGTTCAAAACATTTTCCAAAAATAGTCATCTAATCCATGCATTGTCATCTTATGAAATGTGACAAGATCAAAGCAAAACCAGTCATTGGACTGGCATTTCAATTTTTATCTAAGTAGCCATCAAAACAAGCAATCAAACTATGGAACAATTTGTCTTCCCCTCGCCAGAGATTGCCAAGGAGAAGCAGCACAGCGTGCACAACATTTCACTGACTTGAAGCTTGAATTCTGCAGGAAATTCTAAGGACCCTTTACAACTGCACATGTAATGACCCACAGCATCCACACATCTGCCCAAGCTGTATCCTCAGTGTGCTTAAAGTGCCATCTCATTTTCTAGCTAAACAAAAACGTTGATGCCTTGGATTTACAGTAATTTACTGATTCTGTCTTTGCCATCTGATGGCAGTACCAGAAATGAGGAATGGCTTTGCACTCTGATGGCATATCTCAGAATGCTTGACTCTTATCTGCCCAGGAGGTTATTGAATGTTGATTGTAAAATGCTGAATGCTATCCCATATATCTCTGGTAACACGATCTGTAAGAGGAGTTAGTTACTCAGATTTTGAAACACTCTGTATATGAACAGCAGGTCATTTTTATTGAGCTGCTCCCTACACAGCTCCCTAATGATTCCTTGGTCAGATCTCTGATGGAAAATACCAGTAGCTAACAAAGGGATACAATTACCCCGGTACAATCCTACTGAGTATTTTTAATATGATGTGCTAATACATTGTCCAGTGTTCCCACAGAATTGCACCACTTCTGTGAGAAGTCCTGGCCAATATCTGATTGATTCTGGTCTGTGGGGATTGGCCCAGTTCAGTGCAATTTCCTGTCTTGTTGCTTTCTTGTCTATTAGAGAGGGTTTGAGTTTGTGGAAATCAATAGGCTTATACATGCAAAATGTGGAGCTATTCTCTAGCAAGTTTCATTTGCATCCTTAATTTATGGAAAATGCTGTTTTCCCCTCTGCGCTTTGCTTTTTTTTAAAACGCTACTTTAACAAATACCTGTTTAAACATACCCCCCAAAGTATTCATGCAGAAGATCTGAACTCCTGTGAGGATGCTGGAGGTGTTTAACTCATGCATAGCCAGGGTCTGCTGCTTAGGACATTAACAGCACTTGAGTGTTACCTAAATGGAGTCCTATTTGTCTTAGCAGAACCATTAAAGTTATGATTTATCCTAAAATGGACACTAATGTTCTATTTAATCATATCAGTTATTTAAGCATCTAACAATCTATTTCCTCTCACCCTGTGAACTTTAGAGAGATGGTAATTAATGGTGTACAATAGGATAACTCTTAAAGAAATATGCTTCCAATATTTCTCTCACTTTTACAGAAATTGAAGCAAACTGAAGAAACAAAAGAAGATTCCCAGAGCAGAGCCTCTAAAATTTCCCTGGAGTCTCTCAATAAATTTAACAGCAATAATGTACTTTTATTAGAAAAAGAGAAGAACTGTCTGAACAAGGCTGAAGGACAGAAGGAGGAACATGGAAAGAAAGAAGCGGCTTCCTTGACCAGCTCGGGCCGGCAGGACGTGGACAACTTGGAATCCCTGAGTGATTCCCTCTATGACAGCTTCTCCTCTTGTGCCAGCCAAGGCTCCAACGACGTTTAGGGACATTCCCACAGGGATGGAGCTGAAGGTGAGCGTGGAGTGAGCAGGGAGAGGAGACTGTGCTGGGCAACTCGCCCTGGAGCTCGCCGTGCTCACCCCGGGGTGTTCTGAGCTCCCACCACACAGCAATAAGGCAGGGCAGCATCTCGGTGGTGCAGGGGGCTCAACACACCCAACACAACGAATAAAGTCTTAATTTTGCACTTTTGTCAATATTTGTACAGTTGTAAATACCTTGGGAAAATATATTTGTAGGGATACACGACAGCAATAAATATTAAATTGGTGCTATGCTCCTGTAATGGCAGATTACTAACTTAAAGAAGTTTGTGTGAATATTAACAAGAAAAGCTGGTAGATTTTTTTAAAAAAAGAGTTATAATTGTCCTAGTCTTAAAACTGTATGTAGAAACACTGCATTTCCATAAACTTGAGCCTGCCAGGTTGTCTTTAATAAACTCTCGTGGACTCCCTTTTAGAAAACATATTTTATTTTTCCTTCTTAGTGCAATTCCATGCAGGTATTCTAGGGAAACATGCATTTCAGTTATTACAACTTCACAACAGGTGTCTTATTTCAAAAGGGGTTTGACTTTTGACATGGCAAGAAAATGAATAGATTAAAAGGCCTGATACTGCTGGCATTGGCTTCATCAATCATGCACATAACTGTTTGAAAGATCAGGGTCAAAGCAATTCACTGCTGACACAAACAGGGGTCCTGTAGGGAAGAGAACCACATCAACCACCCTGTACTTCTGGCTGCAACGTGGCTTTTCAACTTCCACCTCCTCTGTACTGTGCTCATTTCCCATCAAATTAAAAATGTACCATGCTGTGTTATCTTTTCTAGTCTCTGTTTGGTCTTAAGTAAATCCTGAACACTAAAATTATTTTTTAAAAAACAAAACAACTCCTGTCTGTGACACATTACGATGTTGGTGCTAACCAGTACTAGTTCAAACATATCTTGGAGCAGGGGGATTGGGCTGTATTGGGTGTTCTTGTTTTTTTCTACAAAGGTTGTTTATATGTAAGGGAGAGTCTATTTCAAAGGTTCTGCGTATTTTTTCTAGATGTGAAGTATTTATAACTGCTTTTTGTACAGCAATTGTAAACTAGATATATTTGGAGTATTTCTAGACTCTACAGTTTCTTTAGCACATGCTTGTTAATCTTTGAAATATTGTATGATCAGTGTTACTATTTTGTGCAATTTGTTATATTTTAATTCATTTCTGCCGTAAACTTGCATCGTCTTTTTCAACTTTTAAGAGATTTTCATTGAAAACACCTTTCGTAAATAAAACTTCTCTTGCCTACCGGTGCGTGCTGAGGGGTTTTGGGAAGGGGATGCTGTGACAGCTTGGGCTGGGTCAGGGGGTACAGCTCCGGGACAGAGCACGGGCGGGCAGTGCTGGGGAATTCCTGACACGGGGCTGTTAAACAGCGATTTCAGCTTAATTAACTCTTCCTTGGCGCAGAGCTGAGAAACGATCGCTGGGGAATAATGGGGTTACCCTGGGAGGAGGCGACGCACTGAGACGGTCCCAGCAGGGACGATGTGGGGGCAAACCTGGGGCTGCCCCTGCCCTTCCCTCCCCACGGGCGGTGCCCACCCCCCGACGGCTCTCGCTGCCCCATCCCATTGCATCCCATCGCATCGCATCGCATCGCATCGCATCCCGCCGTGTGTCCGCGCAGGTTGCAGGCTCTGACCTCCGCGGCCCATCCCGTGCCCTTTCCCCCCCGTTTTGTTCCGCTGGAATTCCCTTTTAGGGGGCTGGGAGGAGGGAATGGCGGGGCCGCGCTTCTCCTCAGTCCCTCCCAGGGCCGTGGGTGCCGCGGGGTGTCCGTGGGTGCCGAGCCCGGCCCGTCGCTCCCCGCGGACGCGCTCCGGCTGCCACCTGTGGGCTCGGCCGGGCGGGGACACGCAGGGACCGGGGTGACACGGCGCGGGCTCCGTGCCCGAGCAGCAGGGCGGGGATGGGATGTGCTGTGCTGTGATGCGATGAGCAGCCCCGGCGGGCAGAGGGTCGCGGCAGCGCCGTGCGAGATGGAGCCGGAGCCGGAGCGGGCGGTGCGGGGCTCCCTCCCCTCCCCTCCCCTCCCCTCCCTTCCCTTCCCTCCCTGGCTGAAGTTCGCCGTGCCCGAGGCGCTCCCGTTGAGGTGCGGGGATCCCCGCCCCGCTCCGCCGGCATCACATGGTGCTGGGGGAAGGAGGGAGGGAGGGGGGAGCCGCCCCCCAGCCCTCGCTTCTCCTACAGTTTCTCCAGTCTCAGCGCTCAACTCCGGCGAGGCTGGAGCGCGGCGCGGCGCTGGGCAGGGCGGGCTCCGCCGCCGCTCCCGGGGCGCCGCTCCGCAGCGGAGGCGGCGGGGAAGCGGCACAAGAGCGCGGCGCCTCCGCTGCACCCCGGCTTCTGATGCCCCTTCGCGACTGCACGCCAGCCCGGCGGCCGCGGCTCCGGGAGGATGCGGCTCTTCCTCCTCGCTGCAACTTTCTGGGGATTGTGCCTGGCGCCAGGTAAGGGCTCCGCGACGGCGCTGGAAACCTCCGTCCCATCCTAGCCCTTCGACGGAGCTGCTACGGGGCGCTAAAACCAACGGAGCGGCGGAGCCCCCGTGCTGCCCGCGGCTCGCAGAGCTCCCGCCGGTGTCCCCAGCGCAGCCCCGGTGCCTCTCGGCAGATGCCGCCCGTGGATGCCGGACCGGGGGTCGGTGCCAGCGGTGCCAGCGGGCCGGGGGTCGGTGCCAGCGGTGCCAACGGGGCTCCCGCCGCCGCAGCGCTCCCAGCGGAGGTCGGGGGGCTCGGGCCGGGGGTGTACCCGCCGCGGGACGAGGGATGCGGGATTGGCCGGCGGAGCGCTGCTGGAGAACCGCGGGAGCGCCTCGTTTGCATGATAAAAGCGGCTGGCGAGGGATGCTCCGCCGCTTTAATTGTGCATGGCAAAATAGTAATTAAATCATTTGTAATTAATTAGTAGCTAAGTAAACCCGTCGGCGCAGATAAGAGCCGGAGCGTGGCTGTGAGCGGGGTTTCGCTCTGCGGGGCGCGGGTGCCGAGCGGCGGGCCATGGATGGGCAGCGGCCGCGGGGCTGTGCCGGTGACGGTGTCGATGCCGGTGTCGGTACCGGTGCCCGTCGCCTCCTGGCGGCGGCGTCTCCAGCGCCGGAGCGGCCGCTCCGCGGAAAGGAGCATCAGCAGAGCCGGCAGCGCTCAGCCTCAGCGGCGCTCTTCTTTTACTTTGTATTTGTCAAAGGGATACTTTGGCTGAGCTGTTGAATAGCCAGGAACAGCCAAATGCGAAGGGGGAAAGAGAAGGAAGATTTCTAGCACGTGTTGGTTGTTTAGATTTTATTTGTTTTGGTTTGTTTTTTTAATACTATTGCTATTATTTAAGGGCAGGTTAGATGGGGCACCCGGTTGAGCAGGTGGTGACCCTGCCCATGGCAGAGGCTTGGAATGAGATGATGTATAAGGTCCTTTCCAAAAAAAGCATTCTCTGGTTCTGAACAAATCTCTGTCTGTTCCAGGTTCGGGTTTGCAAATACAGTGTTACCAGTGCGAGGAGTTCCAGCTAAATAATGACTGCTCCTCCCCAGAGTTCATCGTGAACTGTACGGTGAATGTTCAAGATATGTGTCAGAAAGAAGTAATGGAAAAAAGTTTTGGTAAGGATTTGATAATTATTCCTCTGTTTATCTGGTTTAGGAAGCATTTGTTGCTTTTGGCTCCACCCATTCATGGTGCCCAGCTTCATACGAATCTCGTATCCCCACCTGAAGGGACTGGATTCAGTGTCTTACACTTCTGAGTGGCTTTGCAACTCAATAAAGTTAAACATTTTCCTTTAAAACTGAAGGATGCAAGCCAAATGTTGATAAAGCTGGTTAAGACACAGCCTTATGGGTCTCTGATATAGTTTCCCAGCACTGGGAAATTAATAACAACAAGTTAGTTTAATCTCATTACAGTTAATTACATGGGCTTTTCCCCCAAGAGATAGAAGAACATTAAATTAGTAATTCCCTCCTTTCTTTTATTTACTCAAGCAATTTATATACTCTGAAGATTCATCTTAAGGGATGGAAAGTGTGGTGATCTTTGCTTTCATCCATTAAAGAAACCATCAAGAAAAAGGGAGAAAGGTTTTTTTTTTTTTAAAAAGGGAGGGGGGGTGTTAGGGGGGAAGAGAAGGGCACAAATTGATTTTTTTATACTAATTTTTAATTTTTTTTCCCCTTACTGCAATTAATATTGAAGTTGATGTATTAAGACAGCAATGTGTCCAAGAGGGAATCAGCTGTGAGTCTGCACCTTGCCTCTGTTGTCTCTTGAGCTGTTTTATAAATGGCTGGGCTGAGCAAACTCCTCTTCCTCCTCAGCCAGCTGCCCCGCCTGTGCTGCTCATCTCAGGCCACTGTGTAACCAGGATAAATAATAATTGTTGTTACACATCCAAAGTAGCTGAACTGCTGGCACATTTCATCCTGGGTAGCACCATCCACAGTGGCTACTCCTGTGAAATACTTACAACCTGTCCAGTGTAGGGGGAAAATCTGGTTTTAAGCTGTTTAAAGGAAGATCAATCTGTCTTAAGTTATTTTTTTACTGGAGTATTTTATTTCAAAGGGTGGTAAGGGCATGAGATAGTTACACCTTTCAAGGTACCTTTAACATCTTGAGTCTCTCTAAATGACTGCTTGAAGGCTTTGCTATCTCCACACCACAGCTTCTGTGGCACTTCCATGAGGTCAGACAGGATGTTTTGATTTGGAGGGCTCTGGATGTGGTAGCAGATACAGACAGAAAAGCCAGATTTGAACTCTTTTGATGGATGCATAACTTGCCATTACTCCTGTGAGGAAATTGCAATACAGTAAATAAGCAGCTCTTAAACTGCTTGGTGGGGGTTTTTTAATGCAATTTTATGTTTTTTCTGAGTAGATCCCTGGATTTTTTCCTTTAAGAGGTTACTAACATGCTCTGCATAGCTGGTGCCACTGTTTTATTACATTTACTTCTATAAATGCATTTCTTATTAATTTTAAGTTCAGAGATTGTAAATTTCAGCCAGTTAATAAATTAAATTTTAACCTATTTCAAATTGAATGAAATTTACATTGCAAGCTTAGTTTCAGTTACCCTCAGTTTTAGAGAGGATTGGTTGTAAAACAGAGATGATTCAGTTCATCATCCTTTATTGGTTTTATTCTTAATTGATATTTAAATGTGTGCAATATAAATGCCTTACTCTCCCAAGTTTTATTTAATAATTCATTTTACTTCTACCAGTATATTTCATAACCTGATTCTTTTGGTTGTTGCTTATTACTAAAAGCTGAAATGTTTCAAGTATTGATTTTAATTTATAATAGACTCAAGTTTGAGCTTTTAACCCAGAAAATGAAAGATGCAAATTTGCATTCATTTGACAGCACAATCTCCTAATTAGGGTTCTTTCCTCCTCAATAAATACAGTCAAAGGAGTGCAATTTTTGTAGGTTAACCCATTTTTGTCATTAATAACAGTAGATGTGTCAGCGAGCAAAGCGCTGCAAGTTACCTCAAACTTTATTTAAAAGTCAGGTGCAGTGTTCTGAGATAAAGCTCAGGGTGGGAGTGGGTGCCCACCCCTCTGCACCCTCCCCTGCAGGAGGCACCAGTTTGGGGGTTCTGCTGTCAGGGCTGCTCCATCAGGCTCTGTGCTGTGCAGAATTCCATTGCCTGCAGGGCAGCCTCACCTGTGCCCAGCGACTCTTCCATGAGTGTTTGCTGTGTTCAGGACAGAGATAAAGTTATAACTCAACACTGAGATGCTGCCACGGCAGCCCTGTGGCTCAGCTGCATTTCTGGGCTAAACTCCCTGTCCTGGAGGCCAAATGGGAGCCCTGGGCTGCTCTTCCCATTCACCTTGCACAAAGCTCCTCGTGCCTGTTCACACCTAACTCCTCCTCAGCTGCTCTAAATCCAGGGCTTCAGATCCCACTGGGCTCTCTCAGAGCTTTGTCTCAGTTCAGGTGAGAAATAGCAGCAGCTCAGGCTCGTTCCTAGCCCAGAGCTCAAAAAGTGGCTCTGATGTGAGCAGCTAAGAAAGCAGGTGCCAGTAACTTCTGTTTTGAATTAGATCATCAGGCATCTGATCTCAGCTCTTTGTTGTACCAGGTAGACATTTGCTCCTTTGGACAGCTGAGAATTGAGGAGCAAATAGCAAAATATTTTTCTCTCTTAAGGCTGAGTTGTAGTTTAAAATGTTGCCAGAAAAAGTTGAATGACTGTTAGAATTCTGTTCCAGTGGGAGATACAGGACAAGACAGTATTTTCCCTGTGATAAAGAATCTTGCTAATTAACTTGTTAATTAAATCTCAAAAAAAAAAAAAAAAGAAAAAGCCTTCTTTTAGAGGGTGGAGTGATGAGAATGGAAAGTGGCACTCAAGACTGTACCAGAAAATTTTTCAGTTTTTTATCCCACAGAAATTAATGTAAAGGATAAGTTTCTAGTGCAGTCTTCAACTGGATAAGCAGGTTTTTGAAAACTGTGTAAACTGAATGTTTGACAAAGGATCAAAGTTTTTACCATAATTCTATGCAGATACCTTGTGGAAATACCTGTGGTGGATTCCCTGCTCCCACTTGCCTCTCTCTTTTCACTCTATGGACTTTTAAATTGGACATGTCAGTGCTCCTTCATTTTTAGAATATATGCAGCAGCAAAGAAATCCCACAGTATATTGGGTTCAAGTGAAACATCTTGGTGATAGATGGATGAGTATATAGTGTGTATATGCTTTTATATATATTACATATCACAGAAAACATGCCGGTAATGATAGCCTTGCCTTTTACTGAGGGGAAGAGTTATCTGAGCATAAAGGCTGATCTAAAACCTACTTAAGGCAAAATGAAACTTGCCGTGTGAGTACATCAGTGAGGGATAAAGCAGGAGGATGAGGCAGCCAGCCCCGAGAGGTAGCCAGTCTCAATTTCTTGGAACTCTCTGCAAGCAAACCTGCCCACGTGCATGTTTTGAACAATACACCTTCTGTTCTGATCTAATTGTGAATATACTTTTACCAACTTTTGCAAGGAAAAAAATTATCCACTGTAGCAGCGCCAAAACTTGAAAATATCAAGTATTTTTCCTTTTGCAAGCAAATAGGGAAGCAATCAGATTATTGTAATAATCTGCAATAAGAAATTTTGATTATTTTGTTTGGTTTACTATGGTCCATTTAATGTATTTAATTGGTATATAACTCTGCAGTGTAATTGAAGAAATTGCTGTGATTGTGTGCTTAAAAGTAGTGCATGGAAACACCATGAGCAAGATCAGTATCTCAGTGTTGAATTAGAATTTATCTATTTCTTTGAACTCTTTCCAGTACTGGTTTTCCCATCATTTGTTTTATCAGTGGCTGTGTTGTGTGATGAGTTGGGCTGTGGTAAATTCTTTACCTGTGATTATTACTTGGTTTTGCCATGATTGAGTTGTTCATGTGTGCAAGGACTACAGAACCACAGACTTTTTTCTGTGTTCATGTATAGAATCCATTATTACTAATATTAATTGCATATCAAGGGGAAATTATCAGAGATTTATATCAAGGGGAAATTATGCTCTGATGTACTTTTATTGACAAAGTGATTAAAACAGCAAACAAAGTTTAATGTTGCCAGAATTATTGTAGGCATTAAAGTTTATAGAAGTTGTTGCATCCCCAGTATCCATTTAGAAACAGTAAGAAATATCTACTAAATTGGTGGTGGAATTTTTTTTCTTTTTTGATTTTCCTCTACACATTTTTGGTCAAAGGATATCAACATAACTCAACAGAATTTTTGGTGTCTGGTGAGCTTTTTTTGTTTTTTAATCAAAGCAAAGCACAATATAATAAATCTTTACTGACAATTTTAAAAGATAAATAAAAGTTTTGCACGGGACAGTTGGTACCTGTAACATCACATGTTGTGCTGCCAGGTGCCAGCGAAATGAAGACATAATGTCAATATTGGAAACACAGTTCACCTTTGATATTGAATGAAAGACTTGCAGTGGACATTGTTAATTTGCACTGAATGCTGGACACTTGGATCTGTGGATGCATTTCCATTCAGAAACACTTTTTGTCAAATGTCAAAGCCATTTCCTCACTTGTAAATTTTTTCCAATCTTTGGGTTTCTCAGAAAACTTCCAGCCACTTATGGAATGCCCTGACTTGAGTGTGTCAGCTAAGGAGGAATTATGGGAGTGTTCAGCAGCTGCTGTTCTGACTGCCTTTCCACAAAGAAAAGCTGCAGTGGAGTTAACAGTTCAAGCAGTTTATGACTTGAAAGTCATGACAAAGATCCAAGTGCAGAGTGATGAAGGCTGCATTATTTTAAGGAAGATGGGGTATCTGGTCCAGTGAGTTCCATCTTTCACAGGATGTGGACAATAGCTTTTTATGTTATTTTATTTCCCAGGCTCCTATGAAAGATATACAAATGAATTTTGTGATGATACAGTGCCCACAGCCTGGTGTCTCTTAAACCTCCCCTGAGAGTTTCCTATTGCATTTCACACACAAATGAGTTTGTGTTTCCAAACCCTTTTGGAGCCTGACCCTGCCACTCCTCTTAGCTCCCAGTGGCTGTATCAAAACATTGGCAAGAAGCTTTAATTAATCCAA